CATGCATGGAACTTGCACTGGTCATCTATTTTACATATGGTAATACACATTTCAGTGCTGTTCTCTCAAATCATCCCACCCTTGCCTAGGAGATGAATCTTGTCTCTCATGTTTAAGGTCTACTTAACATAAACCGCAAGGCCACTGGACTTTTAACAAAATAATTTGTATAAACAGTTAGGTCTTTTAATTCATAAACTATTTCATTTCCTAAGAGGCATCTATCAATAGGACATTCTTGCTTGTTCGTTATGTGTGAATCTGAGAACTAAGCAGTTCTTTTACTTAGCATTAGAACACATGATTGAGAGGAGAACTCTGCATGTTATCATTTTTTAAACATATATGACAATATATAGTTTTCATTGGGGAGTGACTGTGTAAATTCAACACAGCTCAAACGGGGAAGGACTCAAAGTTTATATCTAAGGCCCCAAGGTCCTGGGAACCCTCATTACAATCTCCTCATATATCATGATGAAAAATTCTCTCATTGGGAGGTAACTCTTTAAAATTACACGAGAAAATAAAAGTAAATGATTCAAATTTTCTATTTTCTTAAATCCCAGTATTATCTTAAAAAGGCAACAGAGAAACCAGTAAAGTGACAGGGAATGAAAGCGAATTTACGAGGTATTTACTAAAAATTATAAAAACACAAATCTCTTGAAAACTCGAATTGCATCTCATGCTTTGTTCTATATTGTTTCCTTCCATATCCCTATAAATCCCATTACATCTTTCAAGAAATCATCTTATTCATTTAAATAAAAACATCAAAGGACTACAGTTAATTTTTCCAACTAGATTAATAAATTTGAATAGAATAATTTCAGTCATATGAGTGTCTGCTCATGACCAGCTGTTTTAAATTAGGACATTAAGTAATTCAGACACTTTTCTTTGCAAAGGTTGCACGATTTAATAAAGTCCCATATGCCTGCACAAGTGCCAACACTGCTAGGTTATCTTCAATCCAGCTGCTGTTATGATAGTAGCTGCCAACTTTCAACCAACTGAAGAGAATAATGAATCAGCTTCAAGTTGGCTCATATGTAAACTTCTACTGCTCCTAGCTAAAACACGGGCCAATTTCAACTGTAAAGAAAATTAATTAAAAAGATTTCACCTCTACTGTTTGAGAGACATGGCACCACAAATACTGCTGAATGAGGAGTTTAAAAGCGTGCAGCTTCAAGTAAAATCCCATAGTGTGGATTTGACTCTTAAATGCAGTAGGTTGTTTTAAAGATTGGATTTTTTTGAAGAAACAGATTAGGAAATGCCTCGTCCCTAATTCATAACATGATTATTTGAGAAGCCTCACACTGCTGGAGAAAAAATGAATTAATGTGACTCTTCATTTGTTAAAGGCTCATTACAGAAAAGGCTTCAGAGGAAACAAGATACAAATAAAAAGGGCCACATTTACACGGAAGCTAAAAAGCAAAAGAGGCAAGTACCAGACCTACCATTTTCTGTGAGCACCATTGTCAAGTATTTAGTATGAGGCACAAAACAGGGCAACATAGCAGCCGGTCCTATCACTTCATGGCAAACAGAAGGGAAGTATTTTCTTGGGTTCCAAAATCACTGCAAACAGTGGCTGCAGCCATGAAATTAAAAGATGCTTCCTTTGTGGCAGGAAAGCTATAATAAATCAGGACAGCATATTAAAAAGCAGAGATATCACTTTGCTGACTAAAGGCCATATAGTGAAAGCTATGGTTTTTCCAGTAGTCATGTACAGATGTGAGAGTTGGATCATAAAGAAGGCTGATCGTAGAAGAATTGACACTTTAGAACTATGGTGCTGGAGAAGACTTGAGAGTCTCTTGGACTGCAAGGAAATCAAACCAGTCAATCAATCCTACAGGAAATCAACCCTGAAAATTCATTGGAAGGACTGAAGCTGAAGCTGAAGCTCCAACACTTCAGCCACCGGATGCAAAGAGCTGATTCACTGGAAAAGACCCTGATGCTGGAAAAGATTGAAGGTGGGAGGAGAAGGGGACGAAAGAGGATGAGATGGTTGGATGGCATCGCTGATTCAATGGACAAGAGTGTGAGCAAACTCCGGGAGATAGTGGAGGACAGGGGAACCCTGTGTGCTGCAGTCCATGGGATTGCAAAGAGTCAGATACGACTTACAGACTGAACAACAACACAGGAGTAACATGGTAATATCAGACCTTCTTTCTAAGAATGACAAAATTGTATTAAATTTTAATAAACACTGGATGAAACAACTATGTGCTGGATCAGTTACCCAGACTACCGTTCTATAGAAATCCATGAAACTTTGGTGTTTCCAAGAAGCAGGACTCTATTTGGCTTGAAGTTATGCTAGATTTTTATAGGGAAAAATAAGCAAATGTCAGAGCTTAAAATATTTCATTTATTCCTATATATACATCATCACTGGAAATGATTCACTGTATAGATGGACTGAGAGGACAGGAAAAATTTTCTACTAAAGAGTAAAGTTAGATTAGAGTCTGCACAAGAGTGAGCCTATACTAGTCTAAGCAAGAAGACAGTTTGGACAAAACATACAATTTTTTGGTTCTGATGAACTGTCTAAAACTATAAATAGTACAAGAGTTAATTTAAAAAAGAAGTTTAGATCCTAACTGGCTAGACTTGTATTTTCCAGTTCCAGTGATTCACAGCACCTGAAACTGAAACTGTGGATGGCTGGGTGGGATGGGCTATCTTCTCCAGGAATCTCTAATTCCCTCTTGTAGGGACCTCTGATATTTCTAGTGCTGGAAATCCTGGAGATTCCTGAGTAGGTTCTGGAGTCTTCTAGACAGTTTGGGTAATTCTAGAAAACCTCTGTGGATGCCTCAGAGTAATTCAGAATCCAAAGAAAGAAAAATGAGCTCAGCGCTATTTTCTAATACCTTGACGTCATCCATCTTTTGACCCCTATTTAGCTCATGGATGTTGCTGAAAGTGTTCAAGAGGCAACAGATTTAAAAGGTCCATCTTTGGAGTAGCATAAAAGCCTAGAACTTGTCAGGAGATTGTTGCCCAGTTAAGCAGCCACAGTAATTCCCCCAAACAACTGAGTTAGCACTCACCCAAATGGAGGCAAAGGAAGCTGTTGATTCCTCTACCTCACTGAATCACATTAATAAAACTATTTGGAAAGTGCTCTTGTCTATTTTGCACAATAGGCTACATGTCTGCTCTCGGCAAAACCTTGTGCAAACGTATGAACCATGTGCTTATCTGCTATTGCTACTGCATTACCTGCTACTGCTCTAGTAAGCAAGAGGCAAGAAATTTCACAGGTGTTAACAATTTATTTGAGGCTTCCGAGGTAGCCCAGTGGTACAGAATCCTCCTGCCAAAGCAGCAGACTCTGGATTGATCCCTAGGTCAAGAAGATACCTTCAAAGAGGAAATGGCAACCCACTTCAGTATTCTTGCCTGGAGAACTCCATGGACAAAGGAGCCTGACAAGCTACAGTCCTTGGGGTCTCAAAAGAGTCAGACACGACCAAGCAACTGAGCACAGCACATATCAAAATAATTTATTTGTAATTCTGAAAACAAGACATTCACCAATACTGGTGTGCCCAAACTTGTCTGCACATGAGACAACTTTACCTAGAATAAGCTAGAACAGATTCAAAGGAGGGACACAGGCCAACAACAAACATCTAACATAAAAATCCTTATTCTTAAAAAAAAAAAAATCCTTATTCTTTAGCTTCGCCCTCAGTTCTTAAGATCAGGAAGTATTAGTGATTCATCATTATTCTGTTTTCTACTTTGAAAGTTGTATATACTTAATGATTATAATTATGAAATCCTAGAATAAGTATACTTTCCATTTACTGATTTGAATATTTGAACAATTAGCTGGATTTGCTTGAATGCAAACCAAGTGTCTTTATTTCTGGTGGTTAGGATAATCAAGAAACGCCTAGAGGTGAAAAAAAAAAATTAGACACATAAAGGGAAGATGAGGAAGGAAGGAGAAAGTAAACAGAAGAAAAATGTTCATATGTAGTCAGGATAAGTGACTAATTGAAGGTGGAAAAAATAATTGCTTACAATTTGTATAAAGCAATCATATCCAGTAGTACTTGGTACAAAGGTACATAATTATAAACAAGATGGAAATAAAGAGTTGTATTTTAATTAAGAAAAACAACAGAGGAAAAATTATGGGAAAAAAATTATGGAAAGTAGACAGACCCATGCCACAAATATGCCAAGATAAATGACATACTCCCCAAGGGGAGAATAGTGCCCTGGACTTGAGAACGTTCGAATGACCTTGGCCGGCACTATTTCCTGCCCTGTATAATCATAGAAGGCATTCAACCCTTGGTGATGATGAGAAGTAGGATTTTTAAGAATATAATTATAGGCTGCAAGTGTTTTCTGTGGAAGCAAAATTATCATTCATGTCTGAGATTGTGTAAATATGCCTTAATTTTGGTCAATGGCAATTTGAACTTAAAAAAAAAACAGACTCTCAAAACCTCCTTATAAAGCTCCATTCTTCAAGAAAACTACAGGGGTAAGTGTGTAAAAGCAAAGACGTTCCCAGATACTCTTCCAAAAATGCTATTTCGTAGAAAATTATCTCTTTTGTAGTGACATGATTTGACCTATCTCCATGTCAGAAACAGTTGACAACTTCAAAAAACCACATGAAAGGAGATGTAAGCAGAGCAAAGCTAAAGCAGTTTTCATCTTTTAGGTCAGGTACAGAAATGATCACAATGCACATTACCTTGGGAAGACCGGCAACCTCACACAAATTAATGGTGTGTGATGCACAGATGGAAGGTGGATAAAACTGAGAGGAAAGAAGAAACCACATCAAGGGTGTCTAAGGAAAACTTAAAGGCTTTGAAAGCTTCAAAAGTCTCACCTCTCTCTGGTGCCTTTAATTGTGGCTACCATAAGTGCATTTTTGCCACATGCTTTTAAAAGAAAAAAGAAACGGTGATTTTCTTAAGTGCTAACAGACTTACTTGTCTTTCAGAAAATCCACCACTCTTTTGAAGTCAGCCACGCAGTATTCTCTTTTCATTTCCATGAGCACAGTGTCAGAGGCAGACTGGACTGGTATGTGCAGAAAAGCATAGACTCGGGGGTGATGAAGGATTTTTGCCATTTCCTTGAGAAAGATGGAAGGAGAAAACATTAATCATTTTAACAAATCAGAGAAGGGTTTCCCTCAGATTAACTCTCACAAGTGCAAGTGAATAAGCATAGCTAAAAACAGACCAATCCTCTAGGCTCCTCAAGTGAAGTCCACTGGCTGCACTCTAGGATGACATCTGGGAGTTTAACACTTCCGGAGGATTTAACAGAAGAGCTATTTCCTCCTGGTCATTGCCTCTTTCAGGTGACGAAACAGAGATAAACTCATGTAAATCCTAGAGACTAAAAAGATTTCTGAGTTCTTCAAAATAAGCACCACTCCTCCCTTGCCTCAAGGCAGTGTTAATATTCTGGCCTGTTACATTAGCAGCAGAAACAACAATATTTAAGGCAAACAGTTGAAGCTGTAGAATCCTGAGTACTTGAATAAAGTTCCCAAATTTACAGCAAGCCAACACTTTTTTTTTTTAATACTAAAGAAGAAAAAGAAATCTGTGCCTCACCTGTTTCTTTTTCAGCTAGTTAGCAAACACTTATTTTTGAGCATGCAAAAGGCACAGGATCAGACAACGATGCCAATCAGTTCACCTCTGGTCACCTACTGGCATCTACCTATAGGCTGCAGAGTTTCAAAGAGGAGAAAGAAGGGAAGAGCAGGAAGAAGAATCTGTCTGACAAAGTTAAAGAGAGCAGGTTTGAGTGAAATCATTAGGAAATACATAGATTTTTCTAAATTCCTCCAAGGATATGAAGTGGGCAGGAAAAAGAATGGTAAAAGGAAAACTGAGGTAAGGAAACCATTTATGTGAGCAATAAGGAAAATGTGAGGCCCATCAATGGGGGTGGGGAGGGGGGAAGAGAGGGAGGAGAGAGAGAGTGGTCGCTAACGGTCGGAAAGAGGTAAAGTCAAAGCAGGAACTGCTCTTTAGTAAGTTCATGTGTCCAGTGATTTTAGTTTTCAAAGTGCCATACTGCACTCTCACATCTGCTGTCTAATTTTATCATTAGAAAAGCATTTTGAGGGATCTTGTGGAGTCAAAGAGCCACCTAATTCCATAGAGGTGACTGCCTCTTTGCTATTCAGGGCTCAGTCATATATATGTATCACCCATGCCCTTTGTCCCTTCATTTTCTTTCCACTGACTATGAATACTAGTATTTTGACCAAAGTGGAAGAAAAGAATGACAAACTCAAGCGACTTAGTTTCCCAAGAGCGGCTTAGTTGGTTTAAAAAAATCCTTCTGATTAAGAAATTCAAATAACCAAATTCTATTACTCATGGATATCCTTTATCGACCTTCTCTTTCAGGAATTAATTGGGATATACGACTGAGTGACTAAAACACACAAACACACTGTGTTAAACATAGATTACTAAATTGGAACTGAAGTTCAAGAATTTATCTGGCAGCAAAATAACTGGCTAACATATTACCTGAAGTTCTCCTTCACAAAACTTACATTTCTTGGCTGGGTATTTAGTCAGAAGGCTCTTCTCCTCCTTATTCAAGATTACCATTTATAAGGCTATGGGAGGCAGGGCTGAACATTTATCACCACTACTGACTCTGAGTAAATACATTGGCCTCCTGCTATGATTCTTCGTCTTTCAGGTTTTTTACACCTGAGTATCAAGATTCCTGAACAGTGTGAAAAAAACAATTATACAAAAATCTCTGTTTTCTAAAGGGGCAGGACTCAGCTTTGGCTAACTTGCAACGTACATACTGTGGCAAAAAAAATGACACCTTTACAAGTAACACAATTTGTGAATTAAAGTTCTACTCTTAATCTCTGTGCACTGGTTTTCTTATCTCAAGAATGAAGACAGTGGTAATACCCACCTCATAGGGTTACTGGGCTATGGTAAGAATAAGACAACCCAGTAAAGTGCTTATGTGTTAGCATTTAAGACATAAATTATCTAATGTTCTTCTTCTTTGGAGAATGTTTAAAATTCACAGTAACACATTTTCATACATGTTAATGAAGCACCAATAAACAGAATAGCTTTTCAACAAGGTAGCTTCCTTAACTAGTAAGTGAAGGAGCGATAACTTGTACTGATTTGCAAAAAATAAATTTGGAAGGGATTCCCAGTGAACATGACCTGGGGCCAGAAAGGGTGCAGTTTGTGTTGGAAACACTCAGGGTGGCCCTTCTAGTATAAACAGGATACTTCACTAGATGAAGCATTGCCCTATTACAGTATGACAATTTTTAAATTAAAACGTTAATAGAAAACAAGCAGGATAAATTTGGTGGGTTTTTTCCCCCTTTGGCTCTCAAAGTAAGATTTCCCAACAGTAATTATCTTCAGCTTCATACTACAGACTTTGTAACTTCATAAAGGTAGATTCCAAAACACAAGATAAAAATAAGCTCGCCCTTTGCATAAAGTCTATACTTCTACCACTAGAAGAACCACAACTTAATGTATATTAACATAACCCAAAGAGACAAGTAGATATTTTTTGTATTGTTTTTCCTTCTGTCCCTCTTCTCACTTAATACTGTTGGTTACACACACTCCAATACTTTGGCCAACTGATGCGAAGAAATGACTCACTGGAAAAGACCCTGATCCTGGGAAAGATTGAGGGCAGGAGGAGAAGGGGACGACAGTGGATGAGATGGTTGGATGGCATCATTGACTCAATGGACGTCATTTGGAGTTTGAGCAAACTCCAGGAGATAGTGAAGGACAAGGAAGCCTGGTGTGCTGTACTCCATGCAGTCACAAACAATTGGACACGACTGAGTGACTGAACAACAAATGAATAATCTTTGGGGACTTCCCCTTTCAAAATTCTCTATTTTTAAGGTTTAGTTTGGAGTTCCAGATTCTCCGGTATAAAGGGTGACTTCTTATTTCGTGATGCCTCAGCAACCTGTTCCTTCTATCACCAATGTATTTCCTTAAATCTACCATGCAACATGGCCATGCATCTCCCAAACAGAAGGTCTACAAGGGCAGTAATCAAGTCTTACTCCACTCGCTAGATTCTACAATGGCTGGGACTATGCCAAGTATACACCACCAAACATATAAATGGAGATTTAAGTCAAAACTACATCCACATACAAAGAGAAAGATTTAAAATATAATTGATGTTTGACAGTAAAACAAACTTTCCACTAGCTCCACTTGGCTAAAGCAGGTAGATAAGCACATATTCAGGCAGGTATACAAGCAGATAATTGGCCCGCCTTAATTGTAGATCTTTGGTCACCTGATACAGTCCAGTCACTGGAAAAGACCCTGAGGCTGGGAAAGGTTGAAGGCAAAAGGAGAAGAGGGCGGCAGAAGATGAGAGGAGAGCGGGAGGGACAGCGAGTCCTGGCGTGCTACAGTCCACAGGGTCACAGAGAGTCAGACACAACTTAGCGACCGAAGAGCAACAAACAATTTTAGAAGCCAAGATCAGATACTTTCTAGGTAGCCCCACCATGGTTTATTGCTCTAAAAATCTGCTGGAGCTTTGAATTAAAATCACAGTGTATATTCTTATGGAAGTAATTTACAAATGGTGCGCTCCAGAACAGCAGTCAAGAGCAACCCTAAGCTCTGAGGTGGGTAATAGAGACTGAAAGCAGAGGTATCACTCTGCCAACAAAGGTCTGCATATTAAAGGCTATGGTCTTCCCAGTGGTCACGTACAGTTGTGAGAGCTGGACTGTAACGACTGTAAAGGCAGAATGCCAAAGAACTGATGCCTTTGAACTGTGGTCCTGGAGAAGACTTCTGAAAGTCCCTTGCACAGCAAGATCAAACCAGTTGATCTTAAAGGAGGATCAAACCTGAATATTCACTGGAAGGACTGATGCTGAAGCTGAAGCTCCAGTATTTTGGTCATCTGATGCAAACAGATGACTCATTGGAAAAGTCCCTGATGCTGGGAAAGATTGAGGGCAGGAGGAGAAGAGGGCATCAGAGGATGAGATGGTTAAATGGCATCACCAACTAAATGGACATGAATTTGGGCAGACTCCAGAGATGGTGAAGGACAGGGAGACCTGGCGTATTGCTACAGTCCATGGGATCATATAGAGTTGGACATGACTGGGTGACTGAACAACAACAATAAAACAGGCAAGTACGTGAGCAGGCATGTGTGGGTATGTATGTGTGTGCACATGCCTGTGTGTGTTTGGAGGAGCCCTTGTGGCATCTAGCATAGAAACAGTATCTATTAATATTTTAATACAAGTTCATTTTTAATGTGAGGGTTGAAGTATCAAGGCTGCTTAAAATACAAATGCTGACTACTTTGTAGGTAAGGACCACAGAATGCCTAATAGATCAAGAAAATAGTATTTCTATCTGGTGTTTTCATATGGAGTTTTCCTATCACAAGTTGGTAATCATCTCAGTGCTTGTGATTTTTTAATGAAGTTAAAAAGCAAAGAAAAAAAATAATGAATGAAAACATTTAATTTTGGAAAGTAATTTATATATGGTATATTTTTTAAAAACAATGTTAAGTCTCACCTTTATTGCCCTGCAATTATCAAATTAGTCATCATTTTCTACCTGGTACTGAACATATATACACTAGGAGCCAACAAAGTCACTCAGTGTGTGAGAGTGTATAACATACATTAATACTTGCATTCAGATGCCCCTGCAGTTCGTTCACAGCGGAAGCCCTCTCAGATTATTACTTTGTTAGGAAGTACGCGCATACTGACAATGCAAAATTTAACACTGCTATTTTTTTTTTAGCTAACTTAAGATACATGAGCTAACCTAAGAAGCAAGCATACACAATATACATAAGCTAACCTAAGAATACCTTAAAAAAGAAACTATGCCATTTACCCTTAGGAATTAAAAAATAGCTTATTTGATATATAAATACATACCATAGCATTCGCTCATAAAAAGTAAGCAATTATTAATAAATGTTTTTAGCATATTCACAGGATGGTGCAGTGTGCCTGGAAAATTCTTATCACTCAAAAGTAAACTCCACCCAGCAATCCCACTCCTAGATATACACCCTGAGGAA